TTCCATCACAATCCCAACTATCGCATCGACAGTAAAATAACATATGTTTTCCCACTGCCAAGCGATAATCAATCTTTCAACTTCTCCTCTCAAATTTTTAAAACCTTGGTCCTTAATCACTTTTTTTATTTTCTTGAAGACTATGAAATTGAGCACTGGCTCTAAAGCTAATAAATCTTTGCTCGTCACATTCTACTTTCCTTTTGCTCGATCTAGGTGTCATAGGAAATCTAGAAAAATTTGAAAAAAGAAATCCGAATAAATCCCAAAATTCTAAAAATCAAAACTTAAATCACTTTAAACTTAAATCCACTAGCTAAGAGTTCTTCACCAAAGCATTTGCTCAAAATCTCTCAAAAAAATTTCAAAATTTTGAATCTAGTCAATTTGAGAAAAATCATTGGTGAAAATAAAAAAATTTTTACTTTAAAGTGTAGCTCTTACTTAGATAAGATGAAATCCGAAGTTCCTTTGTCTCTAAATCGTCTTAAATCTGCCCAAAATCAAGCTTTAGGTGCAAAATTGAAGGTTGAAGGTGACTTAAGGGGTAAAGATGGAGGTTTGCGGTGAAAATTGCAAATTAAAGGGTTAATTCGTCGCTCTTGGGTCGAAGACGTCGTCGGTGCCAATGTCAGCACTGTCGGCGCTGAAGGACCGACATTCACTATTTTGATTTTCAAATTTTCAATTTTAATTCCATTTTCTCCAAAGTTTTTAGTGTTTTTAAACACAAATTTTGATCTAAATTCATAAATACATATTTCACAAACAATCATTTTCACAAATAACAACAAAATGTCTTTTATATATGAAAATACACTTTGTACAAACACATTTCACAAATCACAAATTCACACTTATTAAGCGAACTAATTATAAATCAGCGTTGAAATCAAGCCACAACACTAAACATTGACACAAAACTATACACATAATCAAATTCTCATATTTATCAGTAAGGAGTCTCCCATCAGACGTTTTAATTTTGAGAACAGTGTTCAGATTTTCTTTTATGCTTGACAGAGATATGGAAGAATTTTGTATTGCTATCTCCGCTAGTAAAATAAATATCATTTGCTTTTTACTTTAAAAGTTCCTCTTCCGAAGAAATAGCTTCAAGAAGAGTTGTATGAGCTTGGGGCAACTCAGAGACATGTTGAGGAGAACAAATGTCCTGAGTCTCAAGAGTATCCAAAACCATTTGAGCTTCTTAAACATTATTATGAACATTGCCAGAGGTATAGAAATTCCACTTACGTAATTTAGTAGCAACCTACTTATGAAGTAGCCAAAGCACGAACCACGGATTACCAACACCATTAATATGCCAAGCTTACTTAATAGTACTCAAAAAGATATCATGAGTAGTGTAGATAATAAGAAATTTGAAGTGATACGTAGCAGGTTTGATAGTAAAAGCAAGGGAGAGCAAAATGGGGTTATGATTCGAGCCAGCATGATTTAAATAATGCACTTTAGAAATGGGAAAGTAGTTGAGAAAATAATGATTACCAAAGTAACAATCTAGACATTAAAAAGGTATCCCCTCCTCCAAGTAAAAGGGGAACCCATGTACCCCAGATCAAAAGGTCAGCCTTAGCAATGTTATCACAAAAATGATTGATAAGTGTGAGACCACCACACTTATCACCTCTCCTCCCAGAGGGTTTCATAATCATGTTGAAATCGCCTCCATCAAACTAGTAGTCTTTAATGATATGTCCCATAAACATAAGTTTATGCCAAATAAGGTATTTATTTTGAAGAACTAAACTAACATAGACAAAAAGTAGGCCAAGAAAAAAAAGGTATCAATTTTAAAATAAACCAAAACGAATTGCTCCTCATTTTCAATAATATTTAGATCAAAGTTATGTTTCTAAAAGATCCAAATTTTGTTATTTGTGTGCAAAGGTGATTGTACTGCTTAACTTTTTTGAAGATACATTCTTTATTAAGCGAAACAAGCGGCTCTAAAAGAATAAAGATAGATAGAGTATGGACCCTGCTTAAATGCTTAAGCCTATTAAGGACGAAAGCGCCTGCCACTCCCATAATATTCCAAATCATAATGTAAATCATGATTTCTCCAGTCACCCCTTCTAGATAACCTAAGAAGGGTGTTGAACTGTTCACCGTCAGAGTGATATTTTTCATCCATAATAATATTATCTCTGTTGAGATGTAAAAGTTCATTTTTCCTTCTATTTTTCTTTTTGCTAGCTTTTTGTACTAACCATTCATCTTCAAGGACATTAGTAGCAGCCAAAATAACACCATCAGGCACCCCATTTTCTTGATTAGCATGGGCAATGCCCTCCTCAATATATTGAGGCAAAGAAAATAACTTAGGAGTGGAGTGTAGTGGAGTATCAACTACATGTAAAGTATCCTGAACAGAGTTAACTAAATCAGATTTATGATTAGCAGCAACTTTAGGTTCAAGAACTACAACATCTGGTGTGACAACATTCTTGATGGTCAAACCATTGCAAGGATTAGCAACCAAAGTATTTGTAATTGTTATAATTGGATGATCTTTGACCCCATTGACTTCATTTTTCTCATTAGAATGGAAAAGTGTTGTAGGTGGATGATCAGTGTCATGTTTTAAGTAAGGATGTAAGCGGTAACAGTGAGTAGAAATGTACTTAAACATACGGCAACGAGCAATATGGTGAATGTTCTTCATTTTCCACTTTTTGCCAATAACCTTTATGCATTGTGCACAGAACCAATCCAAATTTCATCACAGAAGGGCAAAATAATATCCCACTCAACCAGTATACAAGCCTCAGAAGACCTTTTTAGAAGGAAAGTGGGGTCATCCATCTTTAATGGGTTGACATAAGCCGCGGCAAGAGAAAATAAAATTTCATGATTAAACAAATGAAATTTTAACACTGGAAAGCACAACCAAAACCATAATAGTAGGGATTTCCAATTTAGGATCAACATCAACTGTCCTTTCATAATTTTCATCGGAATGTTATCAATTTGAATAAAACGATGAGAAAATATGTGTGTATAGTCTTCATCATTAGATAATTGAATAAGAATACGTCGCTCATCCAACAAACCAATTTTTCAAAAACCCATGAGTTTCATAGAATCAAATTCTCTTCTAATTAGGTCAAGTTTAGGGTGTCCAAAAATAAATTTCCCAACATATGTTGAGCAGAAGAAGCAAAAATCTTGGACTCATCCTCAGAAACAAACAAAGCTAGTTTGTCATTCTTTTTTCCAGTTTTCAGAATAAAATTGTACTCCCCACCAACACAGAGGGCATCGTGAAAGGATTGAGGAAAGATAACAGAGTTACCTATTTTAGAAGAATGAGCTCCGATGAGAGCCTCAGCAAAAGACCGCACCATTTGAACCCCAAAACTGCCCCTAAGGGGACTGAAGCCGCAAGAAACAGAATAGCCAAAAACACAAAAAATGAACAAGCCAAAAACAAATACAAGATGAAATACACCAGCAAGGAGGGAGAGAGGAACAATCTCACCAGCATCAAAGCGCCAAGAGGGGAAGCACCTTCGTCGCCATGGATTCGCCAAACCCTAGCAGACCTATGTATATATATATATGTATATCTCGATCAGTTGGTCGGGCATCTGTTTGTTAGTTATAAGTCCTCTGGTCTGTGGTTCGATTCCCCCCGATGGAGGGTGTGGTACTCGAATTGTTAGGCGCATCGGGGATGACAGAGGCTCGTATTATAACCTCAGGACATTCCTTCTTTTTAAAAAAAATGTATGTATTTATGTATGTATGCACACACACACACGTACACATGTATAGTTGTTCGCAAACAATGGAGTTTTTTGGATAGCCCTGTTTCATATCACGGAAGCTAATCCTTCAACAAAAGTGGTTACTTAATAAAAAATTTATCAAAATATTCGGATTTAAAATTTATCATGATTCGTCTAAAAAAAATGTACTTGCCTTTAAAATTGGTGTAATATAATATTTATGTAATACTAATCTTAAAATAAAATTTATAATTTATTAAATTCGTTATGATACAATTTATATCTAGGTATCCTAGACTAGCTTTTTTTTTTATTATTCTTTTGGTTGCTTGATTATTGCTTTCCATCTTTAAGATTCACTTTTAACTAATCTCAAAATAAACAAAAATATTGTTGACGTTAATTAAAAAATATTTTTCGTATTATGCAGCACTAATCTCAAAATAAATCTGATAATTTACCTCTTTCTAATACATTTTATTAGTTTCAGGTTATTTGCTTGTGATTGCCCAATTTTTTTTATGGACTTCATTTGCATAATCAAGTGATCAATTATTTATCATATTAAAGGTGATTCCAATTATTTGTTTGATGGAGCTCCTTCTAATCCTGTTACAAATACATAATTATATTTTATTTAAAAGTATTGACTATTTTTTTTTATGGTGGTATATATAATATGCAAATCATGACAGCTTGATAGATTTTTCATATGGTAATCGTCAACATTAAAATAATAAATAAAACTTAAAGTATCACTTAAACTAATTATTTTATTTTATATGATATAATTAAAAATATCTGAATTTTTATTTCTGGTGGGTGACACAGTGCAAATCATGACCGTACGATAAACTTGCCTTATAAAAATTGCCAACATCAAAAAAAAAAAATAAAAAAAAATCACCTTCCCAACGCATGTTCATTCACCTAAAAATTACTTCAGAACTAAATATGTACAATAAAATCATGAAATAAAATATAATTACATTCTCTCAGTTTAAATCAAAGAAAACATACCCCATTTCACCAAAAAATGTTGAGGGGCAGGGCCAAGTGGGTTAAAATCACACACATATACATAGTGATTACTCAGCTGCCCACAAAACTTTTGACATGAGCCAATCAAACCCCAAAACACCCACTTTTCCTAGTTAAACACCTCAC